CCCGAAACCCCCCTCCCCATCCCGCCCGAGTCCCGCCGTGCCAAAGCCAGCACGGCGGCCCCTGGACGGCAAGCACGGCATCGCGGGGCAGCGTCGTTCCCCGCTTTCGTGCTCACTCGGAGGGGCCTACCGCACACACACTGCTGTGTTCGCCCCACCCTGTTTAGGGACGTCGTTTGAGTCTCTCCATGGGTAGAACGGACACTGAAGCGGTGACTTAAATAGACACGGTGTGGTGGGGGGTGCTGTGACCCAAACTGAGCACAAAAAGCAAGTCGTGGAACAAAACGTGTCGTTTACCCCAAACTGCGCATAGAAAAGTCTGGGACACCAGCAGCCTGTATGTCCTTGAGCAGGCACCTCAACCCTGGGCCACAGCTGCCCGGTTTAAAGAGAGGAGATGGGGCCGCATCACTCCTAAGGGTTTTCTAGGTTTAAAATCCTCTAAATTTACTAAAGAATTGATCCATTCCACAAACATTTATTGAGTTCTTTGTCATGTGCAGACACTGAGGGAGACTCTAAGGCCCTGGCCTCCTGGGGCTCACGCACAGGTGGCAGGAGGGGCGGTCGGACCAGAAACGAGCAGGAGGACACAGGCAGAATCCTTTGGCGATAAGGACAAGGGAGAAAATTAAGCAGGTTGGGGGCATTCAGGGATGGGGAGGGGGGTGAATGACCAAGGAGAGGGCGCGGCTGAGGTGACATTTGAGTAAAAACCACGATGAAGCGTGACGTGATATCTGTCAGAAAGAACATTCCAGAAACAGGAAGTAACACAAGTCCTAGTAGGAAGTATAATGTGTGTTTAAGAAAGCAGGGAACCAGATGGATGAGGTCAGCGGCAGTGGGGAGGAAGGTCACGGAGTGCCCTGCGGAACCTTGCAAAGGCTTCCTCTTTTACCCCGAGTGTAGGGGAAAGCTATCGCAAGGCTTTGAGCAAAGAAGTGACAGACAAAACGCACATTTTAAAAAGGTCGCTTTGGCAGTTGTGCTGAGAATCAACTGTAGGACCTCCGGGGCGAGCACAGGGACCGTCAGGAGTCTGTCACGATCCAGTGGGGGTGGCAGCAGCGTGGCCACGGTCCTAGAGGTCCCAGAATACTAAGAAGCGGTGGGATTGCTGGGGTTAGTTTGAAAGCGGAAGAAGGATTTACCAAGTTTCCGTATATTAGAGGAGCCTGCCTGCGATCAGTGAAAACACACTTGGGTGAGTCCTTGTAGAGCTGGGCGGCCGGGCTGTGCCTTGACCTTCAGGAACTCAGCCAGGGCCAGCCCGATGGGGTCTAACCTGAGACTTCAGGCCTGGTGGGAGGCTCCTTGCCCAGCTCGCAGTCTAGGGGCTGAGGGAGGGAAAGGGATGTGCTGCCGTGTGACAGCACGGAATATGGTCATTTGTCCTCGGGGCTCTTGCTCCATGTGACTTTGCCATTCATCCAGTCCCCCATTGAGCGCCGAAGGTCTCTCTGCACAGAGAAGTACAGCCCCGTGTCCACTGCAAACAGGAGTCCCATCGCCAGGCAGAAAGTGAT